TCTTTCTTTCTTTCTTTCTCTTTCTTTCTTTCTTTCTTTCTTTCTTTCTTTCTTTCTCCTTCTTTTCTTTCTTTCTTAGATGTTATTTATTTATTTATCAGAGGGAGAGAGCACACAAGCAGGGGGAGCTGCAGGCAGAGGGAGAAGCAGGCTCCCCGCTGAGCAAGGAGCCAATGTGGGGCTCAATCCCAGGACCCTGGGATCATGACCTGAGCCAAGGCAGACGCTTAACCAATTGAGCCACCTAGGTGTCCCTATTTTTGTCTTTCCATTTGGAAATAGACACCCAAATATTCATCTTAATAAAGATTATTTTGCAATGCAAATACAGTTTTAGAAGTGATAGAAAATAATCTTCCTTGGGTGCCTTCTTCATTTGGTATTTTAGTCCCCAGGTCTAGAGACTATACTTCTGAGTTGTCCCTTTGAAGCTGGAATAGTTCCATTTGTTACAGAATGACTAGGCCTGGTCAACCTTTTGGAAATATATCAGATTTCAACTTTTTGACCCCCTTTACAAATATCCATGAGAATTACAATGCTTATCAGAGCCACTGGAAATCTCATACTCAGAACTCACTTAGCTCTTGGGAAATTGTACTCTTGGAGTTGGTGTAGGCTTTAAAGTTTGACGTTAGTTCCAATTACCATCTGCTTGGACAGTTAAAACCAATTGCAGATGCCAAAATTGACTACAGTGGAAATAAACATGTCTAAAATGTGTTTTCCTTCTAAGAATGTAGTTGCTGAAATGCTCCTTATTTTTCCCTTTCTTGTTTCCTTTCAAATGCTATCTTACATATAAACTTTGACAATATCATCATAATTTATTTCCTCCTGATTCTATATTTTGGGGAGAGGGGAGAGTAATTAGGAATATGAACTCATCCTCTTCTACTTTTTGCCTCAGTAATATGGAAGTCTGTAATTCTAGAGCATGCTTTCCCAACCTTGGCATTATTGACATTTTGAGCCAGATAATTCTTTTTTTTTTTTTTTTTTTGAAGATTTTATATAGTTATTTGAGAGAGAGAGAGCAAGAGAGAGAACACACAGATAGGGAGAGGGAGAAGCAGGCTTCCCACTGAGCGGGGAGCCTGATGCGGGACTCGATCCCAGGACCTGATCATGACCTGAGCTGAAGGCAGACGCTTAACCGACTGAGCCACCCAAGTGCCCCTGAGCCAGGTAATTCTTTGTTATGGGAGGTTGTTCTGTGCATTGTGGGATGTTTAGCACTATCAGCATGTCTGGCTTTCGCCTACTAGATGCCAGTAGCAAACTCCTGGTTGTGATAGTGTCTTCAGACATTGCCAAATGTCCCCTGGAGGGTAGAGTTCTCTTGGTTGAGAATCGTTGATCTAGGGTCGATAGACAGGGTGTGTGATGGTCAGCATGTCTGTGAGCCTGTTTATTCTCGTGTGTGGAGGAGCTAAATCTTGGTCTTTATTGTCACATTTTGTCTCTTCACTCAGTTACCAGGAATAAAAATAAATTTCATACTTAGGAGCTCTTTCTTTGGTCAAATACTTTATAAACACTTATGAGAATAAATTCAAGCTTAATGTAGTACTATATTCCTTTAGATAATATTTCTGAAAGTTTGATGAAGACGAGAGAGACTGAAGATAGTTTTTCCATTGAGCCCATATTTTCATGTTTTATTCAAGAAAATAATATCTCTTTTGAAGGTTCTGAACACTAAAATACAGGCTCCCATTTAAACATCTAAAGAGATGGAACCCTGACTATTTTGTGCTGTTGGAGAGAAAATAAACCAGGTTATTTCTTTTCCATGACTGTCTAGGGTAACATCTTATTACGACACTCCCTTTGAAATAAAGCCTTCCTTGTAACTTCCCTCATAACAGATGAAGAAAATTCTTGCCATGCAAGTATATTACAAAAGAGAGCATTCAGAAACTTAACCAATACTGGTATGCCTAGTATTGGTACGCTGAGAGAGTGAAAAGCATAGTTAGAAGATGCACTTGTCCTTTAGAAGCTTCTAATCTAATTCAAGAGATATCATATGCTTAAGTGAAAACTGTACTGATAAGCTTATAAAATAATTAGTGTGCAAACAGAGGTGGATGTAGTGAAATGAGAAACAACTTGGAACCTTCTAGTTCGTTCATTCATTTAACCACCCATCCATTCACTTGTTAATTTAGTCATTCCAGAGCTATTCAGTGAGCACCCACCCTGTGACAGGTGCTGAACTAGGCCATGTGTATATGAAGATGATTGAGAAGCAGCCCCTTCTCTGGAACAAGAGAGAGTCAGGAAGTCATATGGAAAACCACCGATTGGGGAAAAGTGAGTGATGAGAGGATTAAGACAGCAGAAGGCTGTAAAGAAGGAGGAGCCCTGAGGCGGGGCAATGCCTGAGCCTACAGGAGCTGTGGAAGCTTCATGGAAGAGAAAGCCTTCTCTGGGGCTTGGTACGGAGTTGACCAGATGAAGGTTTTCAGCAGAGGGATAGCCAGGACCAAGGCCTAGAAGTGTGAGAGTGCACAGCAACTTGGGAGGAGGGTGGAGGCTGTGGATAGCTGAAGCATAGCATCCTTGGGGGTGGTGGGTGGAGATGGCACCGAAGAGATGGGTCAGGGGGAAATTGTGAAGGGCAGTGGGGGAGCTGCTAAAGAGTTTGCACTTAGTGCTGTGGACACTGAGAACCACTGACAGTTTTTAAGCATGGGGATTTCAGTCAGATTTGTTTTCTAAAAGGGATCATTCTGGTAATAGTATAGAAGAGGAATTAAACAGTGGCTGTAGAGCCCCCTTGGCAAGCTATTGTTGTAGTCTAGGAGAGAAGTGGTGAGGGTCTTCGCTCAGACCACCTTAGGGATCTAGCTATTACAGACTTGGGGCGAGTGGTTTCTAAGGCACAAAGTAACATTGACAGTAACAGCTACTATTTGTTAAATTCTTACAAGTGCCGGAGGCTATGTTATAGTTGTGAAAAGTGAGACTCATGAGGTAGGTAAGGAAACTGCCCACAGTCAGGCGCTTGGCAGGTACCAGTGCTGGCTGGGACCCAGGTGTGCCTGCTCTAGAGCCCCTGTATCACGGAGCTGCCTCTCAGAGAGGGCCTGCTGTACTGCATGGTGTCGGAAGTTCCTTTAATTTATTTATTTTTAAAGATTCTATTTATTTATTTGACAGAGTGAGTGAGAGAGAGAGAGAGAGAGAGTGCACGAGTGGGGGGAGGGTCAGAGAGACAAGCAGACTCCCCCACTGAGTGCAGAGTCCAACCTGGGGCTCAATCCCAGGACCCTGGGATCATGACCTGAGCCTAAGGCAGACACTAAACCAGACTGAGCCACCCAGGTGCCCCTGCGGTTCCTTTTAGATCTGAAATTCTTTAAGAACAGATTGAACTGTTTTGAGGTAGTAAATAAATTAGTTACCAGATTTGGGTAGATTTGGCTTGGAGAAATTTTCTAAAGAGGTAAATTCTGAGGTAGGCTGTCAAGTTAGAAGAGATAATGACCCATTAAACAGCCCAGACTATCTGAACACTAAAGTGAAGAGTAAATTCCAGTTGGATATTGAAGGTGTCCTAAGTGGTAGTTTCTATATAAAGACTAGTGAGCATTCTTCACTTGTTTATGTGGATTAACCCCAGAAGAACACTTGTTTTATGCCTTTTCTGTGCTTGGTGCTATTTCAAGTCACCTATGAATTAACTATCCAGTGTTCATTGGAGTATGTCCAAAAATGAGGTTGGACACCAAGATGTGGCTTCGAGCTCCCTTGCCAAATTGCTAATTGCTCTTAGGGCAGATCCAGAGACTGTGGCTTAGTTCAGATTTCGTCTTGATGGTAGTGGCTCTCATTACCACTGGGCAGCAGGGATGTGTGCAGCAAGCGTGTTGAGTGTTTGCCATAGAAGGTTCTTTATCCAGCCCATCAGGGGTAGGGGAGCAAGTGGGGTCTGCCACAGCCTCTGTGCTGAGCCTGTGCGTTAACCGTGTCAGAAATAGGATTAGTAAAACCTAAGAATTTTAAAAAAGAGATTTTTCATTTAAAAAAATTTTTAATTCCAGTATAGTTAAGTGTTGTATTAGTTTCAGGTGTACACTGTTGCCATTCAGCAGTTCTATGCATTACTCAGTGCTCATCATGATAAGTGTACTCTTGAATCCCTAACACCTGTTTACCCATTCCCCCTACTCACCTCCCCTCTGGTAACCATCAGTTAGTTTGTTCTCTATAGTTAGGAGTCTGTTTCTTGGGAAGCTCCTGGGGGGCTCAGTCGGTTGAGCAACTGACTCTTGATTTTGGCTCAGGTCATGATCTCAGGGTGATAGGCTCAAGCCCCCCCACCCCCCGCATCAGGCTCCCTGCTCAGGGGGGAGTCTGCTTGAGATTCTGCCCCTCCCCCCTGCTTGTTTCCTCGTTGTCTCTCTCTTTCTCTCAAATAAATAAATCTTAAAAAAAAAAAAAGCCGGGGTGGACGCCTGTGTGGCTCAGTCAGTGAAGCATCGACTCTTGATTTCAGCTCAGGTCATGATCTCAGGGTTGTGAGATCGACCCCCTGAGTCAGGCTCTGCACTGGGCATGGA